TTTGTTAATTTTTATTAGCTTTAACATGGCTCCAATGGTAGCAACGTGGCTATGTATATATATTGGGAATTACTTGCTACTTAAGAGTTCTGGTTTGAAATTAATTGATTTGAGCTCTATCTCATAGATGATTGATGATATCTTCCATTAGATATTTTTATAATGATAAAGTACTTCATTATTTTGCATAAATTCAACTAATTTCCATTCATGTTTAGCCACTGGTTTATCAAACTGATCCATATTGAGATATAAAGGCCCCCCGACAAGTTGTATGCATGCATCATTTACATGAAATAATTGAATATAAAGATAATATACTTTATTCACAGACCAAACTTTCTCACCAAAACCAAAACAAGGAAAAAAATAAGAAAATTGGGAGTTTTTATTTCTTGAACAAAACCAACAGTCCAAGGCAGAACCTCCCTTCAGAAAGATGATGAAGCAATATATGGTATGCAATGATTGATGTATGGATTTCGAAATATTGACAGGCTAAAATCATAACTAATAATTTCCTGTCTGTGCTTGTTTGCTGGGTTCATGTCACCATAAACCAAGTTCAGGATTCATGAACCGAAAGCTTTTACCTTCTGGCATCTTGTTCCGTCAACTGATCAAGCTCCACAATTGCTTTTGATTTTTTATTTTTGCAATCTCTGGCTAAATATTCTCATATAACTGTTCTGCAGGCTTTGCATACGAGTAGTAATTAAAAAAATGAATGGTAGAAGTTGCTACATACAACAAAAGTTGGGATTTTATTTCTTCATCATATATAATTACAGGATGAACATTGAAGTACTGTAAGGTTTAGATATGGAAACTAAAGCATTATCAATAAAAAGGTACCCCAGCCTTATCTATAACGCCCCTACTTATATGTTACAATAAGATATATAAATAGATTTAGAAATTCTATTCGTTCTCAGAAGGCCAAACAAAGGCTCCCATGGCAAACTTCCTCTTCTGGTTGACATCTCCAACAATAGGCAGTCCATACTCTTTGAAAAGACAATCCAGTTTCCACTCAGGCATGTTCTCGTAGTCTTTCTTCTTGTACCTCGGATAGTGAAGTGGCATCTGAAAGCAAGTACTGCAATTACCTGACTTTCCCACTTGGTGTTGGCTTCCAGTTTGCCTTAATCCAGGCATAGAATAAGCAGCGTTGGCTCCAGTACTCATCTCTTGATCACCTTGATTAAACACAGAGTGTTCATTTCAAGCAGGTAAGGGTACCCTTTTATAGACATCCAAGAGAGGAAGAGAGAATACTCGAGCATGTCCTAGAGGGTGGAACGATACAAACATATATCTAGAGTGCATTAACACCCTGAAAGCTATGTATTTTCTCTGCTGATGCTGATGGTTTTCTCCGTTTTAGGATAAGAGTCACCAGACATTTATTTGTCTTACTCGCAATGAATGCTTAATGAAGCGATATATGGTTAGAATTCTCTCATGAGTTGCAATTGCATTATTGACAAGCAATTTCTAGATCTTTCCAGCTCAAGGGATCAAATCCAGCTAATTTGCATATGTTAAGGTCTACATCCAATTTCTCCTATTTTTTTTTTGTTTAAACGACGAAATGTTTAGGCTAGTTTGCAGGTACTTTAACTAATCATTTGAAACCTTTAAACTATTAGTTGGGTAAGAGCTCCCTTAACCATTCTTATTAACAGTTGCAAGGATTTAAACTCAGGAGATTATATTAGATACTCCTCTTATTCTTTTATTATCAAGGAGATTCAAATTTGGAAGATCATGTTAGATTATTCTTTGTGTTTTTACCATCAAATCACTCAATAATTGTTAATTTTGCTATTCATTATACCAGGGACAAAGATATGTGCTACTGCTAGCTCTCTTAGTCGATTATGTTATATGTATCAAGACATGGCCAAGTTACGTTTAAGAATTGTGTGTTTTGCCAACCATTTAGCCAGAAATGTATAATAGTTTTGGCTACCTAAACAGTTCGTTGTCAAATTGGTTTTGGGATGAAGTTCTTTTCTCTTACCCTAAACATTTACTTCAATTAGTTTCCAAAGCCACTACAGATGTGCTCAAGAAAGAGTCAAAAACGCCGGCTAATTAAATGTAGATAGTGGATTTATTACTTGACTAAATCTAAGTACTCCCTCCGTTTTTTTTTAAATGACGTTTTGGGGGTATAATTTTTTTTCTAAATAAGTGTCGCTTGTCTTGTCTCAGTTATATCTCTATTCTCTCATTTTTACGATGGCCCACATCTCTTCTCTTTCTCTTTCTTTGCTCTGCGTGTCTGCCTCAATATTCTCTCTCCACTTTTTTGTATGCCCACGCCTCCTCTCTCTTTTTGTTTACATTAAAAAAATCAATGCATAAAAAATTGTGCAATTAGCTAAAACGTCATTTATTTGGAAACGGAGGAAGTATTAAATTTGTTTTCAAAATACTACTATTAAATGTTAATGAAAGAGTAATACTACACTAATAACCTTTTTTCATAAATTTTCTCTCACAATTTTGATATAATAGCTCACAATTAGTTAATGATGTGATAATTAATAATTGATTAATTTATAATTAATTAATAAGATTTATGTGAGATTCATGTTAAATTGATCAATTATAAACTATCATATCAGGGTTGTGGGAGAAGATTATCAGGGTTGTGGGAGAAGATTATCGTGTAGTATTATTTGAAATCGTGTCTGCCGATTTCTTGAAGAATTTCTGCAACTTCTCAGTGTCTAATCAGTTTTTTCTCGGAAGTCAACGAACAATATTCTGTCAACAGTGAACGAAGAATTTCCAGGCCTACGGCCGACTTTCAAGGACTGTGGCAATATGATTACCTCAGAAAATTTGGTGTGACTTGCTTTCACGGTCGCACTCGCCCCTTAATTATTCTCGAAGAAGTGTCCGATTTCCATACAATTTTTGTCACTCACAGTACACATTACATGGAAAACTTCGAAACGCTGCTGCATAATCATAACACTGCTGAGATTAAAATACTCTGAATCTTGAAAACAATAATGGGACACCGAAAATTTTAAACAAAAAATGTGTCTCTACGTGTGATACGTTTCTGATTTTTTCAACAATTTTTTTCTAGTGAATGATTATTCATCAAATTTGGATCACTGTTCACTCACATAGATATCCATCCATATTATATAGACAGACATCCATATATAAGGGACAGACATCCTTATTTAAAAGACGCACGTCCATAAATAAAATATAAAAATAAAAAAAAAACTTTGGGGACGGCTGTCAATAAATTTTAGACGACCGTCTCTTATGTTTGGACAGCCCGTCCATACTTAAAAAAAAAAAAAAAACGTGAATACTATAAAAAAAAAAAATTTCATCTTTTTTGTCTTCATTCCCCGGGTTCTCATGTTAGTTCTTAGATTACTGCCAGTTTCATTAATTGGTATTCCAACATCACCATATAAATCTGGGTTTCTTGATTCTCTCTCTCTCTCTCTCTCTCTCTCTCTCTCTCTCTCTCTCTCTCTCTCTCTCTCTCTCTCTCTCTGCTGTATGTGCTTAGATATTATTGCCATCCTCGCCCATGAAAATGTATTTTAATATGCATATTGTTTGTATGAATTATTATTATTCGGCTGGGCCACTTTGGTGATCTGGAAATTTCTGAAAGGCACATTTAGTGGTGTCTAGAGAACTATCTGGTTCATGTCCTGTGGTATTTGTGAAGGCAAGAGAGATCTTCTTCATGTTTCTAGCAAATTAAAATGTATTATATTGTTGTTTATATGGTTGGCCAAGTCTCATTGTTTTCTTTTTTCTTCTGTTCAGGCTGCTTGTGAGGAATTGAGAAATAGCAAAATGTTTCTAAAGCTTCTAGAGGCTGTACTTAAGACTGGGAATCGCATGAATGTTGGGACAAACTGTGGTGATGCTCACGCCTTTAAGCTTGACACACTCCTCAAGCTTGTTGATGTCAAGGGTGCCAATGGAAAAACTACCCTACTGCATTTTGTTGTACAAGAAATTATAAGAATTGAAGGTGCTCATCTTTCGGGTACTAGCCAAATTGAGAAATAGCAGAATGTTTCTGAAGCTTCTAGAGGCTGTACTTAAGACTGGGAATCGCATGAATGTTGGGACAAACCGTGGTGATGCTCACGCCTTTAAGCTTGACACACTCCTGAAGCTTGTTGATGTCAAGGGTGCCGATGGAAAAACTACCCTACTGCATTTTGTTGTACAAGAAATTATAAGAATTGAAGGTGCTCATCTTTCGGGTACTAGCCAAATCCTGATGATGCCAAGTGCAGGAAGCTAGGCTTGCAAGTTGTATCTGGTTTAAGTCCGAGCTCACCAGTGTGAAGAAATCTGCTGCCATGGATTCTGACGTGCTCAGCAGTGATGGTCCAAGCTTTCTAGAGCAAATTGGATATATCCCTCTCATGGCCTTTTCAATTTTCCTCCTATGGTTCGTCCTGTGCCTCTGGAAATACATATTCAGGGAGTGGATATATCCAATTTTGATGCAAGGATACAAGCCATGACGAAAACACTAATACTGCACTGCAATTGTCCAACATGCCAAGAATGGAAAACCTGTGCTTGTATTTGTCCCTTCAAGAAAATTGTGCGTATTTGTAGAAACCAAAATAATGGACGCCCGTCCAAACTTTTTTTTTTTTTAAGTATAGACAGGCGTCCTCCATAATTTATGGACGACCGTCCCCAAGTTTTTTTTTTTTTTTTTTCAAATTTTATTTATGGACGGGCGTCCTTTAAATGAAGATACCCGTCCTTGTATATGGACACTGTCTATATAATAGGACGGGATCCATATGAATGGACAACCGTCCACTAGAAAAAAATTATTAGAAAATCAAAGGCATGTTACACGGTAAACGATAACCTTTGCGGTGTAGAATTTTCGATGTCCCTAACATTATTGTTTTGAAAAACCAAAATGTAAGGCAGATTGTATAAAGATTCACCTAACTGTAACTACCATTTGGGAGGTATTGTACATTGAAAATTTCGTATATAATTAGTAACTAAAGGATGCTTTTAAGACATATTTCAATGGTTTCTTTCATCGGTCTGAAAAGAATTACACAAATAGATTTGATTTTGAACAAGTGATTCAGCAAATATACAAATGCAATTATCCAATTCTGTCGTTTAAATAGTAAGATTAGTCTTTCCCTTCCACAACATTTGCAAAATTCTGTCGTTTAAGTAGGCGTAATCACTATCTAGGACAGCAACCACTGATTGCAGAGACGAATCCAGACGCTTAAAGACGGTTCTTACTCCACCCATGGATGCTCTTCCAAATACAAGTTGGTATCCTCCTCTATAATGTTTTAATCATTGTACTTCAGCCAATTATACAAATACTGCAACCTTTTTCTCTCCTCGCTTAAGATTTCTCTCATCTCCAAGAAACATTAGGAATCGGTTCTTCGTTCGACAGAAATTTCCCTTAGGTTCTCTGGAGCCGCTTTCACAGAAGGTACATCTACAAGCATGTTTGCAGGGGCAAAATACATGTGCAGTGACATCATACAAATAATAATGCCCAAGAAAAGCTGCAGCATTGCAAGAAAAAGAAAAAAAGAATAAACACCAATTATCAAAACAAATGCTAATGACAGAGGGGGAAGAACTCAAGAATGGCAAAAAGTAAGGGCATTGGGACTTGCCTGCAGTGTAGGCTTAAAACTGAAAAGGTATACAGATAAAAGCATTGTTAGCAGCATTGCCATTGAAGTGGAATAAACCTGAAAGATAAATAAATCAATGTCAAACAAAACAAGAAATTCTAGAGTTGCATGGGCACTTAGAACTGAAGATCTAATGTCAAACAAACAAGTCTAAACTGCTGGAGAGACTTCTTGGCAGTTAAAGTCACTTGTGAGGCCGGCCAAAGGACAGAGCTACAAAATTTTCCTTTGGGGAAAAAAAAAAAAATTTCTTTTTTAGTTTTAGTATAAAACTAAAGCTCAATTCTGAGTTTTAAGTCACCATAGAAATCACTCAACACTGACATTTTCATATCCAGAATTCATATGCTAATGAAAATCATGAATACTCCAAAAGAAAGTAAATGTTACCTTCACAATATTGTCAGCATACTTCATCAACCATGAAACCAGCAATCCAGTGGATCCAAGGTTCAAAACAACCATCCAAGTTGTAATACTATATCCATCAAAAAGGCGTTGCCACCAAGGTCCCTTCTCAAACCCTCCTCTGAAGTCATCCATTAGAAGCCGGAACATATTAAAAATAGAACCAAACCTGAAAGGAGGAAAAATGCCCATATATCACCATTGTAATCAACAAAGTTTTTACAGTGAAGGCATATGATACAATCAATGTATAATCTAAGCACCTATCTCACAATAGGATAATCCTGTATCACCACAAATGTCCCTCAAGAGTTTTAAGAAGCTGCTATAAGGGTAGCTAATAATTATTCATCTCACTATACAAGATTCTAAAAAGAAGGCAAATAGATTTTCACTAGCAAAAAATTATAATATTACAAAAGCACAACAGGCCTACAATTTTTGTAATTACAATAACAAAAGATAGCTAGGTAAAATTTGACATTGTCCACTCATAATGAATCGGGATAGTAACCAATTGATAATATATATAAAAAAAGCAAGACAATGTGGAGATACCTACGTATACAATTCTACATTCTGCCAATACAAGCTATCATTATTCTTCTTCATAAGAAATTCTGTATAAACACCGGCTAATGCTGATAGACAAGCAGATAGGATACCCAACGTATACCCTTGGATTGGTGCTGAAAATAAAGAATCGCATGAAGCTTCTCCACAACCTTTAACCTAGTATAAAACAAAGTACACCTAATCACAAAGTCGTATGAAAAACAATTGCAATTATAATCAGGGATCTGTGGTTAAGTTCATATAGCTACAACAGAAGGAGATAGATGAAACCGAAATTCTTCATAGTGTTTCATACAGCCCCTCTAACAATTTCATATTATATAAATTTTTAACCACAAGACCATGGTAATGTACCGGAACACAGTAGACATAGGCATCAACAAAAAGGCAACACCACATATAGAACTGTTATAAAATATCACCTGGCTTGTGGTTGTTCCAACAGCTAATAGCACAACAGCCATCCACTGGAGATTAGAGAGTTTTCTCCTCAAGAATAGCCTAAATTAAAATTAAAAAAAGGAAGAAGAAGAAGAAGATAAGTCTTATCAATTAAATAAGACAACTCTTAATTAAATTCAATCTAAATAATATTAAAAAAGTCTGAAATCAAAAGAATTACTGATAGAATGAAGCCATAAAAACAAAGGCATTAATATTTTTACAACTTTGAAAAGTCAAAGTATGAACCTGAATAATATGCCAGTTGTGACAATCTTAAGATTACCCATGATCTGATAAGTGGAAGTGTCAACATAAGTCAGTGTAGCAAATTGAACATTATTGTGAATCAGATATATGATTGACGGAATGGGAAATAAGCGGACACTTTTCCAGTCTGTAGTCATCCTTGGAGAAGATGTCCGGATCTCTCTCCAAAGAAGAAAACTAGAAACCACCAACTGCAGGTTAAATGGTAAGAGAAAAAACATAAAAGATATCAGCAACTATTCAGCATAGAAAATATAAATTTTCAGAAAATCATTCATTTCTGCCGTGGTTAATCAATAAGGAAAATGGACAAATATCAACAAGCTAACAAAGTCATTGAATGAAAAATACCTTGAAAAATTCAGCAAGAAATGGAACTGTAGCATAATCATACTTATACCCTCCATTACTTTGAGAGAGAGTAGTCAAAATCCCCTACACAATAAAAAGAAACGTGAATTTCCAAATTTTCAACAGTTTTAGAAAAGAAATCAAGTTCAGATCTAGAAATCAATGCTGCCAACTTCAATCAAAACATTATAATGAGAAAGAAGCCCTTACGACTCCTCCCTATCAATAACCATCAAAGTCACTCAAGAAAATGAGTTGAACGAAATCCGTACAAAGGACTATGACTTTTCGTTTAGGGAAAAAAAAAAAAACAAAAGCCCAACAATGAATGCAGCGCACAATCTTATCACTGAGTTCTCAGAAAAGCTTACTGTAAAGAGGCAGATTAATGAATGGAAGAAAACTTGATGAGGCAATAAAGTGAAAGAAATAGTTCATGTTTACAATAATACATATGTAATAGATTGCAAAACATTTTCCGAAGTGTCATTTATTAAAATATTATACTATAACTAGGATTGAGTTACATACAATAATAAGAAAGAATTACTTTTATCCTTTTTGCCCTCTTTTAGCACGCAAGTTAAAGAAGTTAAAAAATTTAGTACAATCGATAAAATTTAGATTAATCTCCAATTTTCCTCTTCTCTAGTGTTTTACTTCTTGTAGATTTCTATTAAAGAAGTTGAAAAACATGAAATGCTCAGGCCTAAGCTCACACAAAGAAAATGTACAACTAACAGTATACACGTTTCGTTTCACACCTTAATTACTCAAGAATTTCAGCCACATTTTCAGGAAACAAAGTTCAACCACAACTCTTACAATCAACAACAACATTCAGGTAAATCTTGCAAAAGCTAATTGAATTCACCACAAAATATCAAATCAAACATAATTCCAATTAATCAAATCAATGTCAATTAACAAGTTAGCTCAGCTGTATCATAATAATTAGTGACAGTGATATCAAAGACAGAGACTTAACAGCGGCATTGACAAATTTAATTTTCTTTCAGATCAAGCAAACACATTCAGTATCCATATCTTGTAATTCTCGGATTTAAACTTGAAAGCAAAGGAAAAAAACAGCAGAAAATGAAAGAGATCCAACGCGTATGTTAACGTGAAAAGATTGTTATAGAAGAAAGCAGTTGTTAGAATCAGACCTGAGAACTAGTGAGAATAGTGAGAAGTGTCGCGACGAAGTACCACTGCATCGTGTTTCACAGTTAGGCTTTCATTTGATTGATTTCACTCGCTTAGCTTCCGGAGTCAGGTCACTGATGGTGTGCTATGGATTTAAATTTATGATCTGTAACTTCGAATAATGGGCCTGAAAGTCGGGTTGGGCCATTTCAGCCTGGGTCACATGAATATGGGTTCGATCCAATCATAAATTGGGCTTTAATTTTAGTAATTTTCGTTGACCAAACCGAACCTTCTTATATTAAACAACTAATCAGTTAAGATTTGATTTATGTTGATTAATTAAGTTAATATTGATTAATTAAGTTAATCAGTTAATGCAAACGTAATACCAAACTCCATTTCTCTTCAGTTTATGGGTATTAAGTATTAACACCGTCAGCGTCACACATTTGCCGTCCAGCCAAAAGCATAAAACATTTTTAACCCAAATAATACTGATGCTGCCACGTGTTACTACTTGGTCTACTGCTAAGCCGGCAAAGCATTATCACCTTAGAATTAAGCGACGTCGTTTGTCGTTTCAATTAGAGCTTAGCGTCAACGGTATTTCAAAACAGTGTTATTAATTAAATTAAACATATTGGAAAGAGCAAACGACACATTCCCACCCAAGGTTTGACGAAATCCTAAATTGGTACCTCTGGTTATATTTATTCCAGATTCCTACACTTAAAATGACAGAAAAATGTTTGATGTAACAGTAAAAAGGTAAATTGGTCATTTTGCATGGACAACGCACGTTAGCAGATCGTCGTCTCTAACAATCTTTTGGTGCACGTTAGCAGACGGTGTCCTTGACGTTTTTCACCATTTTCCAGTGATTCTTCCACCCAAAATAACCCTTGTCACCACCATTTGAACTCTCATCCTCCTCTCTACAAAACCTTACCCTTGACAACCCCTCATCACTCGTCAATCATCGGATATGGCAGCCAAGACATTCGACTAGTTTTTGCCAGTTTTCGACCGTTTTGAACGGCAAAAACCCCAACCACCGCCGCCATTTGACTCCTCGCATCCTCCCCTACAAAACCCCTAACCTTCCTAGCCATGACAACTCATTGTTTACTGTCCATCACTTCACCAAAAAGCGGCCAATGAACACGAACTCTCGGTCGGCGACTAAACGATTGCGAAGGACATAGGGATTTTATAAGGTTAGAGATGCTAATTGCAGTGGTGGTATCCAATTGGATTTTCATTGTCGGAATCCAGCGAAGAATAGCGAAACCCTAAGCTTAAAGATATCGGCGATTACAGGGGCCAATGAATCAGGAACCAGAGGGGTTTTGGACGACAGACTACGGGGAAGGTGATGGAGGTGACCAGGGGGTTCGACACCGTCAGAAACAGCCTAGATTAGGCAAAAATCGAGAAGGTGTGTAGTGATCGAGGGTATTATTGAGATAATGTGAAAATAAAATGGTAAGTTTTATAATTCTACTAATTTAAGGGTTAAAACATAATTTATTAATTTAGGGTTAAGGGTATTATGATAATTGCACCCTTTATACCCTAAAAATTGCTACCAGTTTTATTTAAGTGTAGAAATCTGAAATAAATGTAATTAAGGTATCAACTTACGATTTTATAAAACCTTGGGTGGGAATATGTGGTTTAATCTATTAAAAACGAAAATATGTCGTTTACTCTATTAAAAACTAAAAAAAGGACGAAACCCGCGGGAACATATTTATATGTTACGCCAAGGAAACCGGACTAGTTCAACGGCCATGGCTGACTCTAATTTCAGTTTCTTAATTTATTCTTGTTCAATTGACCAAAGCTGACGGAAAATATAATAAAAAAAATGGTTTCTTCGTCTGTTGAAAATCTTCAGAAAACAACGCACTCATTAAAAGTCAGTTACAGAGAATATAACCATCAGGTGTCCTTCTGCTTTTGGTCCAAGTTAATTTCTTTGTTCCATATTCCAATTCTTCATTTGGCGTTAACAGGTTATTGATTTTTCTGTTCTTTTTCCCTTTTCAATCTTGATGGTTCGTTGTTTCTTTTTCTTTGATACGAAACAGAGGTGGGTTGTTCTTGTTCATTGACCAGATTTATCTATTTGTTAAATGAAACAAATATTAACTTCTCTTTGTTTCGTTACATCTGGATGAAAAAATACTGTATGTTGATGCTATGAACTTGTGATTGTTGTTGCAAAGACAGAGATTTATCCGATGTTATACCAGATAGTTCTGTTGTCTTGCTATTGTTATTGATGATCTATCAATTTGTTTTAGATCTTTGATCGAACAATCAATTGAAGGCAAGCTCCAAGGCCAGTTCAAGTACAAGAAGAACCATCAGAGGTAAGGTGCAGATAGATTGAAGATTAAAGATTTGAATTTGGTATTGTATATTGAGGATTTGGCAGCACCTGGTGAGGTTTCAGGGTATCCCTATCGATAATTAATCTTTCCAGGGCCTCGTATGGAGCAATTTAGGCAGGTTGGCGAGGTTATGGGAAGTTTGAATGCTATCATGGTGCTGAAAGAAGACATCCGAATCAATCAACGGCAGTGTTGTTTACTTCTAGACATCTTCAATTTAGCCTTGTCTACAGTTGCAGAGGGAATCAAGCTTTTCTTGAAATCAGAAGAGAAGAACACCAAGTGGAAAGCTCTTGAACAGCCCTTGAGAGAGCTTCATAAGGTGATCAAAGAAGGAGAACTCTATGTTAGGCAATGCTTGGATAATAAAGATTGGTGGGGTAAAGCCATTGCTCTTCATCAGAATAAAGATTGTGTTGAATTTCATATTCACAATTTGCTTTGCTATTTCCCGGCTGTGATTGAGGCCATCGAAACAGCTGGTGAAATCTCAGGACTTGATCCTGATGAAATGCAAAGGAGGAGAGTAGCACTTGCAAGAAAATATGACAGGGAATGGAATGACCCTAAACTTTTCCAGTTGAAATTTGGGAAGGAATATTTGATCCCCCGAGAAATTTGCAATCGTTTTGAAAGTGCTTGGAAAGAAGATAGATGGCTTCTTATTGAAGAACTCAAGGAGAAGAGAAGTTTGGGATCTGTTGTTCTGACAAAGAATGAGCAGCGGCTTGTAGATATGTTACTCAAGAAACTAAATGGACCAGAGCCTGCTAATGGGCAACTCTTTCCTACTTCAACTTTGTTAGGAGGGAAGGATTACCAAGTAAGGAGAAGATTAGGTGGAGGAGGCCAGTACAAGGAAATTATATGGTTGGGGGATAATTTTGCTGTTAGGCATTTCTATGGTGAGATTGATGAATCATTAAATTCCGAGATTGCTAATCTTCTTTCCCTGTCCCATCCCAACATTGTGCAGTATCTTTGTGGCTTTTCTGATGATGAGAAGAAAGAATTCTTTCTTGTTATGGAGTTGCTAAGCAAGGATCTATCTCTCTACATGAGGGAAACTTTTGGCTCAAAGAGGCGGAGTTCGTTCTCTCTTCCTATTGTGGTTGATCTTATGCTTCAAATTGCAAGAGGTATGGAATTTCTTCATTCACAAAGGATTTATCATGGAGAATTAAACCCTTCAAATATTTTCCTCAAACCAAGGACTTCAACCGAAGGTTATTTTCATGTAAAAGTTTCTGGTTTTGGATTGTCGTCTGTTAAAAGTTATGCATCTCGACACTCACTCCCACCACCACTGCCGCCGCCAAATCAACATGCACCAGACCCTTGTATTTGGTTCGCCCCAGAAGTTCTGGCCGCACAAGAAGAGGGAAGTACCTCTACTTCCAAGTATTCAGAGAAGGCAGATGTTTACAGTTTTGGGATGCTTTTTTTTGAGCTTTTAACCGGGAAAGTTCCTTTTGAAGATGGACATCTTCAAGGAGACAAGATGACAAGAAATATAAGAGCAGGAGAGAGGCCTCTCTTCCCATCAGGTTATCCAAAATATATCGTCAACTTAACCAAAAAATGTTGGCACCCAACTCCTTCTCAGCGCCCAAGTTTCTCATCCATATGTCGAATTTTACGTTACATCAAGAAGTCCCTCGTGATGAACCCGGAACATGCTCAGTCTGAGTTTCAATCGCCACTTGCAGATTATTATGATATCGAGGCAGGCTTTCTAAGGAAGTTTGTGTTAGAGAGGAGTTATGATGAAACATCTGTCACACAAATCCCATTTCAATTGTTTTCCTATAGAATATTAGAGAAAGAGAAGGCTATTTTGAACAATAAAGATAAGCATTTGGAACTAGGTAGTGATGCAGCCTCAATGTACAAGGATGAGTCTGCTTCTGTAGATGGAATTATGTTAGCAAATGAAACAAGGTCTATGTGTTCTGATATGAAGTCAGTCTCTTTTGATATGAGATCAGTTTTTACAGAGATTCCGGGTAAAAAAGTTTCTCAATTTGATACGAGGTCAGTTCATTCCGAGGCTCCAATGAACAAAATTTCTAGTTCTGAATTTAGGTCACTTTCTTCTGAGGTTCCCGACGAGAAAATGTCTAATCCTGCTTCAAGACGGATAAAAACCACGGCTTCGTTAAAAAATCTTCCTAGTCCTGATTCCAAGTTGGTTGGTTCCAGGACTACAGAAAGGACAATTTCTGGTTTTGAAACGAAGTCATGTTCTTCCGACACTCAAGACAAGAAAATTTCAATTTCTGATACAAAGTCAGCGTGTTCCGAGAAGTCTGAAAATCGAGTTAAAGCGGCCACGAAAGCCACAAATGTAAAGGTTGAAAAATGTGCAGGTGAGTTCTCTTCTTAAACTCAGATTTGCTTTCTAAATACGTTCTTGAAAGCTTTTAAACTAAATTATGTTAATTTGATGGCACAGGCCCTGGGGCACCAATACCACGACCAGCAAGACCGAATGCAAAAGCACGAACACAAAAACAATCACCAGCAACGCAGACGACGCAGTCACCAAGACCGTCACCATCACCAACACAATCACCGAGATCAACAACATCAACAACAACAACACGATCACTGAGATCAACAACAACAACAACACCACGATCAACGAGGTCACCATTTAAAGCAGGCGGGCGCAGTTTCAAGATTGGCCAAGAGGTTAAGAGTCCTTTAAGCACAAGGATACGAAGATCACAGGCTAATTCCTCGAATTCTGACGCATCATAATTCTTGTTCACCTCAACCGGTGAGAAGAGTACTTGGCCTTCCACGAAAATTTTGTATACACTGTAGAATTTTCACTACTTATGTTATCAGATCATGGCCTTCCGTTGAATCTGTTCTAGGCCTCCAAAATACTTGGGTGGTTTTCAGAATTTGAGAGGTAGAAGCATTGTAACTTCGTCCTTGGTATGTATACTTGAAATTTTACTTCATTTTCCTTTTCTACGACAGTCTCTTTTGTTTACAATAGCTGAGCCAGTGAGTAACACATTTACCTGTCAAGCTTTTGAGCTTTAATTTTTAAGATTGAAGATGAATTGGCTTGGCTGAGAGTCACTAACTCATTGACGCACTTCAATAATCTGGCAAAATTGAATTATGATATAGAACAGATTATATGATCTACAGATCTATCATAACAAAATTATCATATACATAAAGATTTACAATTCACTTTAGTAGTTATAACTTGAATTCTCTGATGCAACCTATTNATCTTTATCGGCTACAATACTTTATAAGGTATCATCAGTAAAACTTTAAGCAAATCCAATGCTGAATTTCAATTAGAAATGCTATTATATCTCCACATGAGGATATAAAACTTTAAGCAAATCCAATGCTGAATTTCAAGAAATGCTATTATATCTCCGCATACTCAAACGAGGCAAATTCTACTACTGGATACCTAACTAAAGCTTAAAAGAAAATCAACAGATTCTTCACAGATGTTGTTTGTTCAAATATATCTGATTAACTACCTTTTGTGGACTGAATGACATCAAGCTGAATTTCAATCGATGACCGACCAACCCATATGACAGTACCAACTATTTTCAGATCGAAGTCAACACTAATCGGCTTCTTCAGTACAATCTTGTCAACTGAAGCAGTAACCACTAAAAGCGGCCTTGTGATGCTATCATCATTGGAGCAATGCTAATTCACCAACAAAGAGAAAATCATCACAGGAAAGCTCAAGAGTAATCATGTTCAGTTTGGATAAATGCACACAAAGCAAGCACATGAGATGTAGTCCATTTTGAAATAACTTTCTTCAAATTGCACAAATCAACAACTCATTACCTAATGCTCAAGCATTTGCATGAAAAATCCCAAATTCAAATACTACACAAAACCATGTGACATCCATTTCTGCATTCAAAGCTCACATATTCAAAATCATTATACAATCATATAAAAAATTATAAGTTATCAACAACATACCAAACAAAAACTATCAGTTTAACATTATTCACAACTCACATCTACAAAACAGACTCAATCACCAAACTTTAAAAAACGAGCCTACATAACAAACTCCTGAAATAATTATACCTTAACCGAAATGGTACCGGCCAAAGCATCAAGATCCTCAAGCAACATCCCAATCCTGACCTCATTCCAAGGATCTCTATATTGCTCTCTTAAAGTATAATCACTAGAGAAGTTATACAAAATACTGGTCCTGCTTTGTGAAGGAGTTTTGGTGAGCAATTCACTTTGTGGGGGAGCATCTTTTGGTGGGTCAAGGAGTGTTTCAAAAATTTGAGACCTTGCTTCCCACAAAGCATTTGTGACAGGTGAATGGTACATTCCAGGCCATAAACTTATGGGCTTTTTGTTGGCTTTGGGGTCTGGAGAAGACTTGTCGAATGGTGAAGCAAATGTTGAGAAAACAGGGATGGTTTTTGGAGATAAGGAATTGTTGAACTCCATTTTGGTGGGTTTGTGGAAATGGGTTTGTCAGAATTATGAGCGTTGACTTCGATTGATGACCAAAGTTGGGTTCTTTTAAAAAGAAAGGAGGAAATTTTGTGTGAAAACCGATGTCGGTACCGAGGTTGCGGCAAAAACGTTTTCTTGTTGGCTGGTTAAAGGTAGTTTTTGTGATGAACAGAGGAACTTAGTAAATGAAAACAATTAAATGTGAGTAATAAATTGGCCGAATTATTTTTTTACCCTATATTTATTGAAAGTACAGTCGATACCCCAAATATAGAAAACCATCAAGAAGTAAGGCTCCGTTTGGTTGGTTTTTGGGAATACTATTATTCAATATTATTTAACTTTTTTTAAACCCCCTAAATTTGTTAATTTAATTAAATACCCCTAAATATTTTTTTTTTAAAAATTATAAAAACACCCCTAAACCCACATTATACCAGATTCCGGCCACCACTGTCGGAAGTTGGCCAGAATCTAGTAGGATGGCACACTACCGGCTGGATCTTGCCGGTAGTGCGCCGATCTAGCCTTTTTCGACCAGATCTAAGGCCAAAGATATAGCCGTTGACGGCTAGATCTTTGGTCGTAACCAGACGTCAATGACGGCTAACATATGGTCGTCGTTGACCATCAACGATGGCCGTATCTTTGGTCATTGTTGACGAGCAAATGCGGCCAAATCTGATCGTCAATGGCCAGATCTAGCTGTAGATCTGGCCTTTGTCGGCCAAATCCAATGTGGATTTGACCGAAAAAAGCCATATCGACGTACGACCAGCAAGATCCAGCCAATCATGCACCGATACAGCGACTCTGGCCACCCTCCGGCGGCAGTGGCAGACTGTCTGTATTTGATGGGTGGGTTGGGGGTGTTTTTGTTAACTTTTAATGTTTTATTATAGGGGTGTTTTGTAAAAAAAAAAAAAACATAGGGAGTATTTTATTAATTTGTAAATCATACATCGTAATACCCGTCCAATTCAACTTTTTTCAAAAAACGTAAAAATTTGAACCAAACGGAGCCTTACCTAGTTTCGGGGTTTTAAGATATTTTTAAAACCGAAGTAATAAAGTTCGTTTTTATTAAAAAGGAAATTAGTTAATTTTACATATACACTCAACAAAGAAAGGTGAAGTTAGTCCCTAAAATTAATTATAATAGAGCTAAACTACAAGTGGCAATGGGTTGTGCCGACACAGCACACAATTTTTTTAGCATTGCCCACCACGGCACGACACGAAAATTTCGTGATGTGCCATGGCCTGTGGGCCATGTGGGCCGTGTCATGGGTCGGGGATTTGGCATGTGGTTGTGCACGACACGTCCCACGAATTTAAAAAAATAAAAAAAATTCAAATGTAGCCGCTGCAACGGCTACAATAGCCGTTGGGACTTGGGTGTGCTTGGGTGTGATGGCTTACATAAGCCCCTAGCCCGCCCTTCACATTTCATCTCTCTCAAATCTCATCTCAATTCTTACATATTCTTCAATTATTAAACTCTCATATTTTTCAATTATCATTAGTCAATTAATTTCTTTCATCAAATCAAATTTATTTCAAAATGGATCCAAATTAAAATGAATTTAATCATTTTCAGTATTTTGATGATGAAGGAAATCCATTGCTTAATGAATTATCAAATGAAGATCCATAGCCCCCAGAAAAGAGAAGAAAACAAAAATCAAAGGTTTGGGAGAATTTCAGTCAAGTACAACAAAAAGTTTTTGGTGAAATTGTTCGACATGTCGTGTGCAGCTATTGTGGTTCTACTTTTTTATGTGCGAGTTTAGGTGGCACGGGGCATCTCAAAAGGCATACAGAAGATCATTGCACACATGCGCCAACTCATTTAAGAAGGCAAAAGCAAATTGGTTTTAAAAAAAGTAACATCATCAGAATGTAATTCATCTTCTAATCCATCTCCATCAGTACTGCAATGGGCGAAATTTCTAACTTCACATATAGTCAACAAAACATGAGAGACTATATGGCTAGGTACGTTGTCGCAACTGATCAACCTTTATCATTTGGTGATGATACTTTTTTAGAATGGTTTATGCAAAGTAATGTACAATCTACTTTTAGAAGAGTTCTTAGAAACACTTTAAGATCTGATATTATTAGAAATTATGAACAAATGAAATTAAATATTATAAAGGAACTTAGGAAATTTAATGGAGTTATTTCATTTACTTCTTATTTATGAACTTCTAGTAATCAAGATTTATGATATATTTGTGCAATTGGTCATTATATAAATTCAAATTGGCAACTACAAAGAAAATTCTTGCATTTCGTGTTTTAGAATATCCACATACTGGCAACACAATTTATGATGAATTAACTACAATCTTTAGAGATTATGAAATAAAAGATAAAATTTTCTCTATTACATTTGATAATGCAATAACATATGATAAAGTTACTGAGTTAATGTTACAATGTAATAATTTACCTTATGAAAGTAGATTATTTCATATTAGATGTGTGTGTCATATAATAAATTTAATTGCACAAGATGGATTAAAATTAGCTCAAAATGAAATATTCTCACTAGGCATGCAATTACTTTTATTTCATCATCTCCTTCACATTTACAACATTATTGTAAATTGTGTAAAGAAACAAAATTAAAAAAGAGAAAATTGAAAGTGGATGCAAAAACTCGCTGGAACTCTATATATTTAATGTTAAAATCTTGTGAAGGTTATGAAAATGTTGTTATACAATTTTATAATACAAATTAAAAGGATCATGTATTGACTCAATATCATTGGAATGTTGCGTTTTCCTTAATGAATATTTTAGAACCTTTAAATAATGCTAATGATCAATGTTTTGGTATTTATTATCCTACAACTTGCTTAGCGTTATATTGTATAATGGAAATTAGTTTTATTTTTAAAGAATATAGAATGAATGAAAATTTTGGACATGTTGCAAAAACAATGGAAGGAAAATTTAGAAAATATTGGGAAAAACCACCTCCACTGTTTGCATTAGCCACTGTAATGGATCCTAAGGCAAAATTATTAGGTGTAAATGATTTGGTAGAAGTTATTTCGGAAAATCTAGAGGTCCTTTTAGCATTAAAAATAGGAGATGTTAAGGAATCTGATACCACACTTCCTTTATGAACTTATTTCAAGAGAAGGCCATGTGGTAGAAATCAGAGTTCAGTTGACCAAGTCCAGCTTTGCCAATTGCTGGGTCTAACGCACATACCTGAAGAATCGGTCCAAGCTTGCCCATAAATCTTTCCAACAAGTTGCCTCACTTCTCCACTATTCCACTCAGTCACTTCATCAATTATTTCTTAGTTTCTAGTTGTTTGTTTCTGTATAAATACCTGTAGTTACTATTTTAATTAATGACCATTGAGATTGATAATGTTGTTATCTTTTGGAGTTTTGTCCTCTCTATACGACTGGTTTATTGGTTGTAATTGTGTTTAAGATTCTTGCATGATTTGCTGCTAATATAAGTTTCAATTGTTTCACATCATTATTTCTTTTAAAATTCTAGCCCTTACCATTTTGGTATCAGAGCAGGTTGATCCATCATGGTGGTTTAAACTAGATCATCTAATATCCAAAATGAACTAGCCAATCCAAACACCAACCCTCCACCAGCCAACCCAAATTCTAATCAATTTGCTCAACAATTATCAGCCATCGCTTCCAAATTAAACACCTTAGACTCTCTAGCAGTTGAAGTAGCATCACTCAAAGCCTAATCCAATGGGGTTCCACATCGGGAAACCAGTCATGGTCTATCCAACAAAGAGAAATGCAAAGACAGAAGATTTGCTTGGTCCGAAGCGGAAGATGATGACAGGGACAATCCTTGTTGGATTAAGAATCCTTCACGGCCCCCTAACATTAAGATGGAATTCCCAAAGTTCAAGGGAGGAGACCCCCGTGGTTGGATCTTAAAAGCGGAAAAGTATTTCTGTTATTATCAGACCCCGAAGGATATCAAAGTTGACATTGTCGCCATGTATCTCGAAGGAGACGCCCTTGATTTATTCGCTTGGATCAATAATTAGCAAACTCTACTATATTGGTAGGAGCAGGTCAAAGCATTACAAGAAAGTTATGGTTCGATAGAGTTTCAAAATCCCGATGAAAACTTTGCAGTATACGACAAACAAGATCTGTCCAAGAATGCCGTCAAGAATTTACTAAAAGATCTTCTTAAGTTAGGAATTGGCTAGATCATTGTTTGTTGGGTGTGTTCGTAAATGGCTTGAAGGAGGAGCTAAAAGCGGATCTTAGAATTCACAAGCCCAGGACAATCTACAAAGCAATGAGTTTAGCAATTGAATTTGAAACTAAGCTAGGCCTAAGTCGTGTTACCCGAGGGTCCAATTGGTCTACACCCAACTGACCAAGTCCACTAACCCAAACTTCCTTCATACGATCCCGCCTCTCATGTGACAATCATCCTTTATCTATGACCACACAAGCTAATGCCTGAACTAATTTTTTGGCAACCCAACCCCTGCAAGCTCACTCACGGGAAGTTGAAAGGCAAAATAGAGTATCAAAAGATCTTTTTTTTTTTTTTTTTTTTTTTTTTTTAATGTAATGAGAAGTTTTGTCCTGGTCACAGATGCAAGCCGATCTCTTTCTCTTTAATAGAGCTCACAAATGGTGAAGTTTCAGCCGATAAAGAAGGCGACAATGTCGGTGACCCAGATAGCGAACCCAACGGCAGTGTAGAAGATGCAGATCTTGCCAAAATCAGTTTCCATGCTATTTTGGGGAAATCTGTCGGTACCACTTCGAAGCTACAAAGTGTAATCAACACTAGGCAAGTTCTTGTCCTTGTTGACAGTGGGCCAACTCATAATTTTGTGGCTGAGAAGATTGTTGAGGAACTCCAACTCCCACTTCAATTTGTTCCTTCTTTCGGAGTCCAAATCGGCAATAGGGATGTAATCCGCTGCAATCGTATTTGTCGGGATCTCTCTGTGCAATGTCCAAGTTTGACAATTACTCAAAATTATTACCCAGTCTTAGTTGGAGGGGCTGATCTGGTTTTG